AGGAATACCGTAGCTTTTCCCTGGCTTGCTAAGGGCATGCTAAACTGATTTTGTTTACCTAAAACAAAGTAACATAAATATAGCTGAAAGACAAAAGTAACAAAATCATTGGCCAGAATGTTACAGTTGTAAATTCTCGAACTCAAAGGCTCTCATTTGTGCGCAACCATCTCTGGCATTTAACTTGAGTTTCACTAGGTAACAGGTAGTAACTTTTTTGAGAAAAGATAAATTCCAATATTAGAAATACACAGATTTGAAAATTGTTAAGGGCCAACAGAATCTATCCTATTCCTAGGAATTAGGCAACTTTTTTTTTTTTTTGCTTTTTGGTGAGGCAATGGGAGTTAAGTGACTAGTGTCATGTGTCTGAGGCCGCATTTGAACTCAGGTCCTCCTGACTCCAAGGCCAGGGCTCTATCTACTGTGCCACCTAGCTGCCCTGCAACTGTTTCTAAAATCAAGAATGTAAAAAGGCAGAGGGAGGCTGACTTCTCCTAAGTCACACATAGTTAATTAGTGACAGTCTAAATCAGAATCCAGGTTCTCTGACCTCCAATCCAGTGAATGCTCTTTCCAAGCTGCCTCCTCACCCTTAAACTAATGTAGGTGAAAACATACCTGTTTGGGTATACACTTTCTGCTCCCTGTAACTCAAGGAATTGCCCTTTCCAAGAAGTACTTTTGCAGTTCTTGAAATCACAATTATGGATATTTAGACTTCATAATGCAGTAGAAATGAGAGGCAGCATGGCATAGAACAGGTTATTAACCTTTTTTTGTATCATGACCACTTTTGGCAATCTGGCGAAGTCTACTGTCTCCTTCTCAGAATGTTTTTAAATTCATAAAATACAAAGGATTGCAAAGGAAACCAATTATATTGAGATATAGTTATCAAAAAAAACCTTTTTAAGCCTAAATCACAGACCTCCCCCTAAGATCCTTTGGTGTAGTAGAAAGCAGACCTTGGAGGAGCTAAGTTCAGATCCCACTCCGACACATATTAGCTGTGTATGCCAGGCCAAGTCCCTTTGCTTTTCTGTGCTCCAAGCAACTGTTTATCAACCAATCAATAAACATTTATTAAGTGCCTTTTATGTTCTAGGCATTCTTCTAAGCCATGGGAATACAAAAAGAGGCAAAAGGCAGTACCTGCCCTCAAATAGCTTGCAATCTAATGGGGAAGACAACACGCAAACAAGCTACACATAGGATAAATAGGAAACAATTTTAAAAAGGAAAGCACTAGAATTAAGAAAGGTTAGGGAAGGTTTCCTGTAGAAGGTGGGATTTTTGTTGGGACATAAAGGAAGCCAGGGAGGTCAGTAGAGTGGAGAAGGTCACACTGCATTGTTAGACAGGAGCTTCCTTATATCAATGAAATTACAGTTCTGGCCTCTATCCCTATTCCAATATCGCAATAAGAGAACATAGCTGTGGTGGTACCAGGGTCAAAATTCAGGTAGATGTTAAACCTTCCTGGCTCTTTTTCCCTTGGAATAATGATCCAAAACAACCATCAAGCTAGTGTTATCTGTGGATTCACAAAATTGACAACCACCATGACCACACTGTTATTATTATGAAGCCAAACATAGCACATTTGTATAAATTCCAATTTTATTTTAGAAGGAGCCACGCAATTTTAAAAACTAGACATTTCAATCTGTCATGCAGATAGTACGCATTTACCAACAACGACTTCTCATCTGTCCCTTCATCTATATTGGAAATCAACTGTACCCAGCTAAATCAGAGTTTCATAAAGGTTGTTCCCAAATTACTAAGCATGAGGTTATTCAGAGCTCAGTTAAAATTCATTGACTGTATATGGTTCCATTTTTAACTAGCCCTGCTGTGCCTACATATTGTAGCACATATGGCTACATAAGACACCATGCACAGGCCAGATACCTTTACTCTCAATCCTGAAATGGCAGAGACTCAAAAATGTCAAGGTAGGATTGAAGAATGGGAAAAATACATTGCCAGAAAATGTTATTTAAATTGTACTTTGTATACTTATGTTACAAAGAGAACAAACCCAATTTCATGTTTTCTACCTTATCTAGTATGTTTGGGGCACTAATTAATTAGAAAGAACCATGCAATTATTTGTGTTTGTGTGTATGTATAACTATATTCTGCTTTTAAAACTCAAATCATAAAAATTTGTTATTAAAATATGCTAAATTACATGGCAACTATTCCTATTATGAAAAGATTCAGGTCAAATTCCTTTAAGTAGTATGCTCTAATAAGTACATTTAAAATAAGTTCCAATTTGCAAAAGAAAAATTCATATTCCAATCTACAAGGACATATTTATTATATAAAAGTGAATTGCAACTATATTAACAATAATGACTACATCAGCTACATCAATTGAACAAAGCAGGCTACTACTGAGGTTATAGTCAGAGGTCTGAGTATGGTAAAGGTAAGTGGGAAGAAGAACTCTCTTCTAGAGTCACAGATTCCATGAATAATTCCCCCATATATTCATTCTGCCAATGGATGCTCTTCACCACTGGAAGAAGCAGGTGAAATAGTGTGAAGATGGCTTCAATGCAAACCTATCAACACACCCGGAAAAACAATCTAAGTACAAATCCAAGTCAGTTACCTTTTTTTTTTTAGTGGACAGCAGGAATTCATGAACATCATTACCTTCCTAATTTAAGCCATAAATGAGAAATCTTTGACTTCTAGGGAGACCATTTAATGTAATGCATGTTTTTAAAATACCCTAAAAAAAATCCAACTGCATATCTACATGTCAGTATGATCCAATTTCTGCGACTGATGGATGAAAACAGCTGTCTCCTTTGTAAGTTACACATTAAATCATGAGTTTGTACTTTAAAATAAATAAATAACATATTCATGAAAAGAAAACATGAATTTCTAGTTTTCAACTTTCCCAGATGTCAAAAATGGATTGCATTTAAGGACGAGACTTGTTTCCACCCTGTTTAAAAAAAAAAGCTACTTTTTTTTCTTCACATAGTGAACAGTCTGGAATCAGAATAGAGAAGAAGCCAAGAACATGCAGATGTCTGCACTCAAGTCGTTTTCTGGCATGCTTTTGTTCTCCAAGAAATAAGAGCACACATCTTTCTACAAATGGAGTAGCTGACTACTCAGATGTGAGCACATTGCTGCTATGACAAACCTTGCTTATCCAGTAGTCTCTTTTAAAGATTACTAAGGTGGGTATACATTCATCTTCTCAATAAATATTTGATTTCTAATGCCATAATCAATAAATCGTAAATACAGCTACATTTTCAGTTATATTTCAGCACCTATTGGGACTAAGTAGGTATATTTCAGATTACATTATTTAAAAAACAAGGGTCTTTTTTTTCCTAGTAGGCATTCTAATGGGCATTTCAATTTCTTTATTTCCATAATTGCCTAAGTTCTCATAGTATGCATCATTTTGCCCATTTGAAAATACAAATTACAACCATCACATCAACAGATTTTTCATGGAAAAGGCAACTTTGGAATAACAAATTCTGTCTTCCTAAACAATTTTTTCAAAGTACCTCCCAGGAAACCACGACAAAGCTGTCTTTTTTATAAATGGTGGGGGGCAAAGAGGATCAAGGAAGAATCCTAATTGCTCACTATCCTGTGACCTAAGAAATTAAAATATTTCTGTAGTCTTTTGGAAAAACACTTCCATGGACCCCACTACATTTCAATAATCTTAGAAGAAAACACCACCTGGAAAATCTACCTTAGAAGTAAAAACTAAAAACATGAAATAGGTTTTAAGTTTAGTTTTGATAAATTACACATACATATGTAATTACATATATATAAATTACATACACGTGTATATGTATGTATATATACATACACACACATAAATTACATATATACACACACACACACAAATACTACCAACATAAAAATATGTTTTAACTTTGCATTCCAGTTCAAAATGATTATGGCTATCAAACTAAACTATCTGGAAATTCATCATTACCAAGTCAGTTACTCCTTTTAAGAAGCCTATCTCAGAACTGGTCTGCAGTGCTGGAGATCTCCAAAATTAGTCAATACCTTTCCCACATGGAAATATATTTAACATTCAGGTAGGCACCTTAGGTGATAAATATGACTACTGAGAAGCCAAGTGGGGCCAAAAGCCAAGAAGACACTAGGGAAAAAGGGGGAATGTGGGGAAACAAGTTCATAAAAACAACACCAGGACCAAATGATTTGAAGTGTCTTTCTTTCTCCCTTCTCATCCGTTAGTCCCGCTCTATTAGAATTAGATGTGTAGTATCCAAGCATTCCCAATGAAATTCCGCCTCCTAGTGCTACAGTTGAAGCAACATACAGGGTGCCCTGGTTGGGCAGGAGGGGAACAGTGAGAACCTATCCGAGCTAAGTCCAATATATGCCCATCAGCAGCAGCTTTTCACCTTTTGTTCCCCTCTCCCCAAGGAGAGAAGGTAGCAGTACCAAGAAGATCCAAAGATAACAACCTGCACTTCTGTTAGAAAGCTGAGTCCCTTTTTTGGCATTCTTGGGTCAAAGAATTAATGAGCAAGTAAGAATCTCTCTTCCCTTAAATCGGGACTCATTTGTGTCCACTCTCCTGCTCTCTACACAAAGGCTCTGGGATGCCGGGGTCACTGGGTGACAGGGAGCGAGAAAGAGGAAGATGCCTTGCTCTACAGAGTCTGGATAAGGAGGACGGCAGCTGCACCAGGATGTGTGCTAGGGAGCGGGTGACTGACTGACTGTGTGTGTGTGTGTGTGTGTGTGTGCATGTGTGGGTACGTGTGTATGTGTGTGTGTAAGGGCGAAGGGAAGAGATAAAGGGAGAAGGGGGAAGGAGGCAGAGGGAGGGAGGCAGAGACGTACGTGTGTGTGTGTGTGTGTGTGTGTGTGTGTGTGTGTGTGTGTGTGTGTGTGTGTCGCGCGCGCGCGCGCGCGCGCAGGGGGAGGGGAGGAAGCCGTCCAACCCTTCTTACCTTTCAAATACCAGCCTGACCATGAAGATGAAGAAGGCCAAGGGGAAAGCAAGATAGAGATCTTCAGCCTGGGGGAAAGTGGCTTCTTCTGTATTCTTCAGATCTGCCCAGGTGACATTGTGGGGGAGCCAGAACCTCTCGTTCCAGAACCAGGCTAAGATCCCTGCCATCTTGCTTTGTCCAGCCTTGTCCTGCAGATCTCGCTGCAGCGGCCGGGCTCCTTGCAATGTCCCGGGGATAGAGGAGGGCGGGGATGTAGGTTCGTCTGTCCCTTGGAGCCTCCGCAGCCGGGACCGCGTCTGCTCCTCAGCTGCCTCTGCCACCGCAGCTGCTGCTGCTGCTGGCGATGGCTCGAGCTCCTTCTGAGCCCTGGCTCTCGTCTCTCTCTCTGGCCGCGCTGGGGAGAGGGGCCGCCTCGCCTGTCACATGGCAGCCCAGGCTGCTAGCCCTGATTGGCTCTTCCTGCCGTCAACCAGCTCCACACACGCGGACCCACGGATGCTTCCCCACGCCCCTGAGTGAAGGCGCAGCCGCTGCGCTCTGGGGTGCAGTGGACACTGTAGGGATCCCTAGGGCAGGCAACAGACCAGCTCCCGCCCGCCACTCCTCCAACCTGGAGAACTGAGCGTGTTACCTGTGAAAGATCCCTAAAAGCTGTCCTGGCCAATGTGCATGCTCGCACATGCTCAGTGCAAGGACTCCTGCCCCATTGGAGTTCCAGAATGAGAACTCTATACTTTCCCCCGATTAGTGGTGGCCGCCAAAGATGACTGGCGGGATGCGGAGGAACTACACCGCTGCAGTTCGGAATCGAATCTTGGGCTGGAGATAAGCGCAAAAAAGGGGAAGGCTGAAGTTGATGTAAAAAAAGGGTGGGGGGGGAAGGAAAGAGTGATCCACGTTCCTGCTTGAAATAAGAAGAGAAAACAGAGCTGGTGGCAAGAACGGAGTTCCTCCAGCCCCCGCATTCCCCCTCTGGTTCTCTTACACCACTCCTCACCCAGAGTTCTTGTTTCTTACGCTTGATGTTTTAAGCTCACATGCTCCAAAAAACGATTTTTTCGAGAATGGTGGTGATGATGAATGCTGATGACAAATAGCAACATTTTGTACCCATTCTCAGGATCTAGTGAGTGCTCAGACCAAAATTCTGGCTTCCTGCCTCATTCATTGGTAATTTCATCAATTCTGCCTTCAAAAGTTAGAGCACAGGGGGCAGTGGCCCCTGGGCAGGAGAGGATCGTTCAAAAATTAATTCCACAAATAGTAAGTGGGAAGAAATTCTAGTGTAGAAAGAGCACTGGATTTAGTGTAGATACGGAGGACTTGGGTTCAAATCTCAGTTGTGTTACTGTGTGACCTTGGACAAAGTTACTTACGGCACTAGTCTTGGAGTCTGGGAGACTTGGGTTCAAATCCTGTCTCAGACACATTACTTTTGTCACCCTGGGCAAGTCACTTAACCTCGCTGTATCTCATTATCTCATTTGCAAAATGAAGGCGTTAGCCTCTAAGGGGACCTCTAAGGTTCTCTTCCATTTCTAAATCTATGACCCTCCCTGGTTCTCAGTTTCTTCCAAGCATATAAAGAAGGGTTTGAACTAAAAATCTTCTGAAGCATCCTGTGTGCAAAGAGCTTCTCCAAGGCACTGGGGAAAATACAAAGGAAAAAAAAGTCTATTCTCAAGAAATGTATAAGGCTTTGGCACCCTTGGGCAAGTTTTTGGATGTTAGTTTCTTCCTCTCTCAAATGATATCACAGATGTAGAGCTAAATGGAACCTCAGGGGCCATTTCTGATTTTACATTAAGGAACCTGGAGCTCTAATCCTTGGAAGTGGAATTTAAACTCAAGTCCTACGACTCCAAAGCGGCTAGGTCGAACAGTGGATAGAGTGCTGACTAGACTTGGGGTCAGGACATGTTCCTGAGTTCAAATCTGCCTTCAGACACTTACTAGCTGTATGACCCTGGGCAAGTTGTTTAACACTGTTTGCCTCAGTTCCTCTTCTGTAAAATGAGCTGGAGAGGGAAATGGTAAACCACTCTAGTATCTTTGCCAAGAAAACCCAAAATAGGGGTCACAGAGAGTCCTATCTGACTGAACAACAACTTATGACTATAGGATCCATTCCCACTGTTGAACTAGAAAATCTTTAAGATACCTTATATGTTTAAATCCATAAAACAACTGAAATACACATTAGAATTAGATAAATGCATAGAAGGAGTTGAACAGACATACATATGAGAAATTTTAAGAGAGATCACTTATAGCTATGGAGATTTGGGAAAGATGGCACCTCAGCTGGGTCTTGAATATAGATGAAAATTTTCAACAGGCTGAAATGTAGATGGAGTCCATTTCAGGTTTGGAAATCCATATACGTAGATGCACAAAGGTAGAGGAAAATAAGATTGAAGAATCAGTAACCTAGATCAATTGGAGTACAGTATAAATGATGGGAAGTTAGTGTTCTGATGTAAGATTGGTGCCCAGAGCCTGAAGGCCAGGTGTGTTACATTTCACCCCTTTCTCCAGGATTCTTGGTAGCTTTGAGGGGATTGGCAAATGTGGGGAATTCTTGGGCTCTGACAATGACTCCAGTCCCCACAATAATATTCCCTCACCAATCAGGGATTGGGCCCTGCACCACAGTTCCACTTAACTACTAACTTAGCTTTTACAAAGGAATACTTACTTCAAGAAGTATAATCAAGGGGCAGCTAATTTGCGAAGTGAATAGAGCACCTGCCCTGGAGTTAGAAGGGCCTGAGCTCAAATCCAGTCTCAGACCAGATACTTGACACTTACTAGCTGTGTGACCCTGGGCAAGTCACTTAATCCCAATTGCCTAAAAAAAAAAATATAATCACAAATATACAAATTTATTCCCCCAACACATAGGATTTAATCCTCCTCCCATCCCTTGTATCATCTCATACTCAGGGAAGGGGGAAGTAATTAGTTTCATAGATTAACTCAGTTCCTATTTAGGAGTACTAGTCCCAAGTCCAAAACCCTCTTTGGGCTTGGCACCTAAGCACCCTGGTCTCAGGGCTTTCCTGCCAAGCAAGTTGCAATATCTCACCTGGAATCTTGCTTAGTGGATTGAGCTCCCAGGATTTACACCTGCACTTAGAAGCAAAGGACAAATGAAACAGAACAGAAACAAGTCTCACCAAAAGGGGAGAAATACATGCCTCCCTTCCTGGTTCAGTGCTGTGGATGATCTCTGATCTTTACCCTCTGGAAGCAAAAGAAAAGAGTGAGCAGGAATAACAGAGTTACTGTTCCAATTTGGAAATGTTTAAAGATGGGGCCTGTTCCAGCTACACAGCCGGTCGAAAAAAGTTACTCCAACCCAGATGATGGGAGAAAATGGAGAAGAGTACTTCCATGTTAGGAGATCTGAGCATGTTCCAAGATCCCAAGGCCCCAAGACATTGATTAGTGAATGCCATACTGAAGCAGATGAAAGATCCATTCAGGCTAATATTCTAACTGTGGCACTACCATTTTATTCAAAAGCATGGAAAAGTGCCTTCTTAAAGGTGTCTTCTACCACCCGTTCAATTAAGTAATGTGGCTAAACAGCGTAGCTTTCTTGTAAGCCACTAATCTAGGAAAGCTTTAGGGCAAAGGCAGTTTTTGAGAGCTCTTCAAATTATGGAGTTTGTGGTCATTAAAAAAAAAGATGTTCTAGAGAAGGACAGGCCTTAGTCTGATACTTTTGTGGTACCTCAACACTGGCATTGATGTTAATTGAGTCTAGCAAAGGTCAAACCACATTGATCAAGGAGAACTTCATCCTAGGAATTCCAAATTTGCCAAGGCCGAAGGAAGTTGTTTTCTCCCTGCACAGCCCAAACTGTCCAAAGGGACTTGCCAATCCCTTTTCAGGGCTGCTTACACACCATTGGTGTCCACCTTCACCCAACTCTCACCTGTGGCTCCAAGAAGCTGTAGCATGGTCATTGGCCACACCCCAGTAAATTGTCTTGGCAGATGGGCTAAACCAAGTTGAGAGTAACTGTGACGCCTCAAACCTGTTGGTGAGTTAGGGGAGCTCTCTACCCCAAGCATGTGAAGACTTCCCCTGATGGCATGGGCAGAAGTGAACAATTCGTTCTACCTGACCATGAAGGCAATTGAAGCAGGAGCTGTGGAGTGCTTAGTGCTTGGTCAGACAATGAAAATGCCAAGGTCATTCACTGCATCCTGAGCTGCCGCTGGTCGTGTTGATTTTTGTCCTGCCACTAAATTTTGATAACTCAGGAAAAGAGAAAGAGAGAGAAAGAAAGAGAGAGAGAGGTGGAGGACTTTGCCCAACTCTGCCTCAATTAAATCTAATTCACAGGAAAGTCAGACATTGTCATTGGTGCCCTTCAAAAATGAAGGACAAACAAGTAGGAAATGGTGGAATTTTTCCAAAGTGTAAAATTGACTACTGCAATATATATCAAAGATGGTGGTTATGTTGAATTTTAATAATAAACATGTCAATATTTTTCAAAGTAATTAGCTTTTCCATTTTTTAAAAGTTTATAGCATTTGTTCAAATCTGGCCTCAGGCACATAGCACTCACTAGCTGTATGACTCTGGGCAAGTCACTAAGCCCCAGTTGCCTCACCAAAAAAAAAAAAAAGACTTTTGGGACACTTTATATAACTCTACTAGGTCGGACATTTTATTTCCCAAACAACAGGGAGACGTAGGCGGGAACATAAAAATGTTAAAACTTGAAGGGCCCTTAGAAATCAATCAGCTCAACTCCCTCATTTTAACCATGAGGAAACTGAGGTCCTCAGAGGTGAAGTGACTTAAAGACCAGAGGCAGGATTCAAACCCAGGTTCTCTGACTCTAAATCTAAGACTTTTCCATCACCCATCCTATTCTTTTATGCAGTTTCAGATTTGAAAATGTCTATATTTAATGGATTCTTAAAAGTTTTTCAAGTGGAGCACAAGCTCTGGACATCTCTACCAAACTGAAAAAGCTTAGCACAGTACCCAGAATATGACACTTCATAAATATTTTTTGATCAATTGATTGAAAACCATCAAGTATGTCTCCAGGACCTGTCTCCAAGGAATGGCCTAGTTAAATTGGGAGCACTTCATCACTAGGTTTGCCACCAATGCCACCAACCATTGACTAAGTCATAACAGAGTTGTCACCTCTGTCAGTAGAAGGAATATGCGTATCAATGTCTTCAGTCAATGACCTTAATCAGGTCCTTATAATACTGAAGTAAGCATATGTTGGCTATGGTCACAGCATAAAAGCAATTCCCTTTGTTGCTACCTCAACATTTCAATGATATGTGATTTCATCAGTATGGGCATGCCATCCATTGATTCAGATACAACCACCACTACATAAGTTAGTAGGCTGTCCGAGAGTCTCTGTAGCCAAAAAGTTCATTATCTGCAGATGACTTGGTGATGTCTCT